AGACTAGTAGTCTTACATGTCACTGTTTATAACACAGAGCGTTCATCCTTTGCTGGACGCTTAAAAAATATTGGGGGCAATTAAATGAGGTATACCCACTTCTTCCAGGCACACTACATCACGCGTTTGATTTTATGAGCAAAATTAACTTTTGGCCCACGGCCCACAATCAAGTTTGATTTTTGGCCCTTCGTAGGAAAAAGTTTGGGCACCCCTGGTCTAGAGCCTCCATTTTTGCACTCAGGTCAAAGTCTCATGGCCCTCTATCAGAATCCAGAGTTTTGAGAAGATTGGGAAACTTTTTTTTCGCCCCCCAAAAAAACGTAAGGGGTAACACTGTCGTTTTTTTTTCGGGTCGAATTTTTGAGTTTCGATATCTCAGCTCTGGAAGGGTCTAGAGCCTCCATTTTTGCACTCAGGTGTAAGTCTCATGGCCCTCTATCAGAATCCAGAGTTTTGAGAAGATTGGGAAACTTTTTTTTCGCCCCAAAAAAAAAACGTAAGGGGTAACACTGTCTTTTTTTTCGGGTCGAATTTTTGAGTTTCAATATCTCAGCTCTGGAAGGGTCTAGAGCCTCCATTTTTGCACTCAGGTGTAAGTCTCATGGCCCTCTATCAGAATCCAGAGTTTTGAGAAGATTGGGGAAACTTTTTTTCGCCTGAAAAAAAAAACGTAAGGGTAACACTGTCGTTTTTTTTTCGGGTCGAATTTTGAGTTTCGATATCTCAGCTCTGGAAGGGTCTAGAGCCTCCATTTTTGCACTCAGGTGTAAGTCTCATGCCCTCTATCAGAATCCAGAGTTTTGAGAAGATTGGGGAAACTTATTTTTCGCACCCCAAAAAAAACGTAAGGTAACACTGTCGTTTTTTTTTTCGGGTCGAATTTTTGAGTTTCGATATCTCAGCTCTGGAAGGGTCTAGAGCCTCCATTTTTGCACTCGGGTGTAAGTCTCATGGCCCTCTATCAGAATCCAGAGTTTTGAGAAGATTGGGGAAACTTTTTTTTTCACCCCCCAAAAAAAACGTAAGGGGTAACACTGTCGTTTTTTTTTCGGGTCGAATTTTTGAGTATCGATATCTCAGCTCTGGAAAGGGTCTAGAGCCTCCGTTTTTGCACTCAGGTGTAAGTCTCATGGCCCTCTACCAGAATCCAGAGTTTTGAGAAGATTGGAGAAACTTAATTTTTTGCCAAAAAAAAAAAAAAACGTAAGGGGTAACACTGTCGTTTTTTTTTTCGGGTCGAATTTTTGAGTTTCGATATCTCAGCTCTGGAAGGGTCTAGAGCCTCCATTTTTGCACTCAAGTGTAAGTCTCATGGCCCTCTATCAGAATACAGAGTTTTGAGAAGATTGGGGAAACTTTATTTTTCGCCCGAAAAAAAAACGTAAGGGGTAACACTGTCGTTTTTTTTTCGGGTCGAATTTTTGAGTTTCGATATCTCAGCTCTGGAAAGGTCTAGAGCCTCCATTTTTGCACTCAGGTTTAAGTCTCATTGCCCTCTATCAGAATCCAGAGTTTTGAGAAGATTGGGGAAACTTTTTTTTTCGCCCCCCAAAAAAAACGTAAGGGGTAACACTGTCATTTTTTTTTCGGGTCGAATTTTTGAGTTTCGATATCTCAGCTCTGGAAGGTTCTAGAGCCTCCATTTTTGCACTCAGGTTTAAGTCTCATGGCCCTCTATCAGAATTCAGAGTTTTGAGAAGATTGGGGAAACTTAATTTTTTGCCCAAAAAAAAAACGTAAGGGGTAACACTGTCGTTTTTTTTTTCGGGTCGAAATTTTGAGTTTAGATATCTCAGCTCGGGAAGGGTCTACAGCCTCCATTTTTGCACTCAGTTCTAAGTCTCATTGCCCTCTATCAGAATCCAGAGTTTTGAGAAAATTGGGGAAACTTAATTTTTTGCCCTAAAAAAAAAAAAACGTAAGGGGTAACACTGTCGTTTTTTTTTTCGGGTCGAATTTTTGAGTTTCGATATCTCAGCTCTGGAAGGGTCTAGAGCCTCCATTTTTGCACTCAAGTGTAAGTCTCATGGCCCTCTATCAGAATACAGAGTTTTGAGAAGATTGGGGAAACTTTATTTTTCGCCCGAAAAAAAAACGTAAGGGGTAACACTGTCGTTTTTTTTTTCGGGTCGAATTTTTGAGTTTCGATATCTCAGCTCTGGAAAGGTCTAGAGCCTCCATTTTTGCACTCAGGTGTAAGTCTCATTGCCCTCTATCAGAATCCAGAGTTTTGAGAAGATTGGGGAAACTTTTTTTTCGCCCCCCAAAAAAAAACGTAAGGGGTAACACTGTCATTTTTTTTTTCGGGTCGAATTTTTGAGTTTCGATATCTCAGCTCTGGAAGGTTCTAGAGCCTCCATTTTTGCACTCAGGTTTAAGTCTCATGGCCCTCTATCAGAATTCAGAGTTTTGAGAAGATTGGGGAAACTTAATTTTTTGCCCAAAAAAAAACGTAAGGGGTAACACTGTCGTTTTTTTTTTTGGGTCGAAATTTTGAGTTTCGATATCTCAGCTCGGGAAGGGTCTACAGCCTCCATTTTTGCACTCAGTTCTAAGTCTCATTGCCCTCTATCAGAATCCAGAGTTTTGAGAAAATTGGGGAAACTTAATTTTTTGCCCAAAAAAAAAAAAAACGTAAGGGGTAACACTGTCGTTTTTTTTTTCGGGTCGAATTTTTGAATTTCGATATCTCAGCTCTGGAAGGGTCTAGAGCCTCCATTTTTGCACTCAGGCCAAAGTCTCATGGCCCTCTATCAGAATCCAGAGTTTTGAGAAGATTGGGGAAACTTTTTTTTCGCCCAAAAAAAAAACCTAAGGGGTAACACTGTTGCTTTTTTTGTTGGGTCGAAATTTTGAGTTTAGATATCTCAGCTCGGGAAGGGTCTACAGCCTCCATTTTTGCACTCAGTTCTAAGTCTCATGGCCCTCTATCAGAATCCAGAGTTTTGAGAAGATTGGGGAAACTTTTTTTTTTCGCCCCCCCCAAAAAAACGTAAGGGGTAACACTGTCGTTTTTTTTTTCGGGTCGAATTTTTTAGTTTCAATATCTTAGCTCTGGAAGGGTCTAGAGCCTCCATTTTTGCACTCAGGTTTAAGTCTCATGGCCCTCTATCAGAATTCAGAGTTTTGAGAAGATTGGGGAAACTTAATTTTTTGCCCAAAAAAAAAAAAACGTAAGGGGTAACACTGTCGTTTTTTTTTGGGGTCGAATTTTTGAGTTTCAATATCTCAGCTCTGGAAGGGTCTAGAGCCTCCATATTTGCACTTAGGTTTAAGTCTCATGGCCCTCTATCAGAATCCAGAGTTTTGAGAAGATTGGGGAAACTTTATTTTTCGCCCGAAAAAAAAAAACGTAAGGGGTAACACTGTCGTTTTTTTTTCGGGTCGAATTTTTGAGTTTCGATATCTCAGCTCTGGAAGGGTCTACAGCCTCCATTTTTGCACTCAGTTCTAATTCTCATGGCCCTCTATCAGAATCCAGAGTTTTGAGAAAATTGGGGAAACTTTTTTTTTCGCCCCCCCAAAAAAACGTAAGGGGTAACACTGTCGTTTTTTTTTTTCGGGTCGAATTTTTGAGTATCGATATCTCAGCTCTGGAAGGGTCTAGAGCCTCCATATTTGCACTCAGGTCTAAGTCCCATGGCCCTCTATCAGAATCCAGAGTTTCAAGAAAACTGGAGAAACTCATTGTTTCGCACCAGAAAAAAAACGACAGGGGTAGCACTGTCATTTTTTTTGGGGGGGGGGGGACCTCTAGACCCTTCCAGAGCTGCGATATTGAGATATTTATAATGGCATAATTGCTACGTGGGATCAGGGGCATAGTCATTATTGGGCCAGGTTGGCACTGGCCCGCCCACATTACTCACTGGCCCGCCCAGACAAGTTTGATAAAAAATACATTTTTAGGTTATTTTTATTATGCAAATGTTAAGAAAATATATTAATATATACCTGATTTATTGTTGACTGCTGTGTGTGCTTAATTCGTTTTGCCGTATAAAATGCAACTGTCGAAGCAAGTTATAGAAAGCCTCCCTCCGGAACGTTATTGGTTGCTATGGTTGCTGGGGGTTCCGACAGGAAAACTCTCTGCGGCGCCAAAATAATGGCTAAGCAACTTTCTTTAATGTGCTATTTGGAAAAGCAAGAGTTGAGGAAGAAGACACGCCATGGTTCATTATTTATTCATTCTCGTTTAAAAAAAAACTACCGTTCACATGTTTGGGGTCAGTACGATTTTTTTTTAAGTCTCTTATGCTCACCAAGGCTGCATTTATTTGATAAAAATACAATACAGTATAACAGCAATATTGTAAAATATCTTTGAATATTTTAAAATTTAATTTATTCATATGATCCTTCAGAAATCAGTCAAATATGGGGATTTGCTGCTCAAGAAACATTTATGATTATTATCAATGTTAAAAACAGTTGTGCTGCTTTTTCTTTAAAGAATAGAAAATTGAAAAGAGATTTTGAAATATTTTTGAAAGAAATCTTTTGTCCCATTAAAAATGCCTTTACTGTACTTTTGATCAATTTAATGCACTCTTGTTCTATATTTAAAAAAAATCATGTATTATCAAGGCAACTATGTTCTAATTTTCTTTCAAATGTACATCATGTGAATCTGCTATTGGCCATGATACGGATGTGTTATGGTCTACTAATATCTGTAGGTATTCTTATCTATACAATGCAATGTACAGCAAATGACATCACAATTTTTTGGCCAATCAAAAGCACTCAATGGCTATGTGTATAGATATACAAGGAAAGGCACCACATCACAGCACAGAAAAGAGAACAACACAGAAGTGTTTATACATTCATCTATATGCATGTGTGGCAGATGAACTGGAGCAATCCCATAAGTGATAGAAATAAAACAAAAACGCAAGCAGGCTCTTCACATTTAAAGCACACAATGAAGACCACCACCATGACAACAGTCAGGACGGACTGAGAGGTTGTAACTCATGGTCGAGGAATACCTTGAGAGAGGCTCTGGAATGAGAAGGCACACCGCTGTCATACTTCCCTGAGATGATCCCACAGGCCAGTGGAGACCACGTCATGGCACCCACACCTGCACCAACAAACACCATTGTGACATAGTACTATGAACCATTTCAGCAACTGTGTTAAAATGACTTTTCTCTGGAAAAAAAACACACTCACCTATCTTATGGAAGAGTTCAGGCAGCTGTACTTCCACCTTCTCTCTCTGGAACATGTGATATTCAGCCTGCTCACAGACAGGCGGGATCAGGTTAAACTGTCTCGCCACAGAGTACGCTTCCTGAAAAAAACATACAATAATACTGTCAAATAAAATAACATTGTTTCTAAGTAAATCCTACACCAATTTCTTTTCAGTGCATTAGCCGAACATTAAAGAGCCAAAAAAGATCAGAAAACAGTCTTTTGCTATTATGAGAGCAGAGATAAAGTTTGTAGCAAGTATGTAGAGGTAAAAAACATAATGGTGATCTAAAAAAAAAAAACACTTCAATGACAGCGAATGAGATTCTGAAACAACATGAATACTTGTATGTATTTTCATGAAAACTCAAGTGCTTTATTTGTAATGCTAGAAAACAATCACTTGTTTGTTTGTGATTGTTTGTGATCGTTTTCAAACCCACCATAATCTCCATGGAGCTCCAGCGAGAAGTGCCCCAATACATGGCCATTCCCTGGTTAATCACATGGGTCATTGCTCGAACCGTCTCTGCCAACCAAAATATTAACAATCAGAGTTCGGATAACACTCAGACCTTGCGGGACCGAAGAACAAAATCAGATGTGGACGGGATGAGAGAGAGTAAGACGACTGCAATACACTTAGCCATTAAAAAACAAGGTCGGATATAACAGTAAATAATGGAAGTGGAGCAGAAGTAGATTCTGAAAAAAGCGAAGAGCAACAAAGGCCATTTATCATATTTTCTTTATACAAAGTGACAGGATATTAAAAAAGGCCCAAAGGTTATGCATGTTATAGTAACTCTACTCAAAGAGCTTCTTAGTGGGTGGAAAATAAATCAGAGTACGACTTCTCCACAAGGCTGCATTTCATTGACATTTAGCAGGAGCAATTTTCCATGGTCCAGCCTACAATCTGCTACATGTCATATTATTGTACACTGCATTAACATACCCTATTATGAGAAAGGAACCAAATATCATGGTTACAAAAAGCTGTATGAAATCAGCTGCAAAGTACTATGGAGGAATCACACCGTGGGTCATTGCATTAAACATTGAAGTAAGTAGTTCCACCCAAACATTCATTTCCGTAAAAGTAGCAGGTGTAATAGGTTAAAATTACATCCTTTTATCCTACAAAACTACAACCTCGAAAAATGTCTTGAGTAGCAACATTTTCAAGGATTCTTAAAAACTTGCCTGTCTGAAAAGGTCTATTGTGTATACAGTTTATTTTGTATTTATTTATTTTTTTGAGGATATATTTTTTAATTTTCAAAGCAGTGTAAATGTATGACCAGTTATTTATTGAAAACAGACCCACATTAGATGACAAAGCAAATGATTTGGCCACACCACAGGGAATTCCCACATATTAACATACATGTAAATAAACAATAAAGGTATTCCAATAGGTCATTTTATGCTATGGTAAATCATCCAATTATTTATAACTATTATTTCTTAAGTAAAAAGCAAACACTGCAGGCAGAAAAAAGACAGCATTCACAAACCTCTCGTAAATCAATTTTCCAATCTGTTCTAAGAAACTGGACTAACTACTGTACATGTTTACATGGTAGCATCTTCAATTTACCTGTTTAAACTGGGTTCTGCAAAGCAGCTTTTATCTTTTTTAAGATTTGTGAATAATATCACCATCAACATTTTTTAGACAAACAGAGAAAATATAAGAAAGACAAAAAACAAAGACACATGCAAATAAGAGAGCAGCTATAATAAAATATTCACATGCAGGGAAGCTGAGGACACTGCAGGCAATCATCTTGCAAAAAATTGTTTTAATTGGTTTTAGGAAAATCTGAACATTACGCTAGAGAATATTATAAGCAGAAGCAGATTTTTATGTATGAACAGGATTTATTAATTATATATTTAAAAAAAAAAAAAAAAAGACGAAGCCCAAAAAATTATCCGCTTAGGACCTACATGAGTCATTTTCTAAGAAAAAATAATAATGGAGAAGATTTTAAAATGGAATGAAAATGCATGGTAAAAAAGGAAAAACAATAATCACGGGTCAGTAAGATGCAATGCAGTCTGCAAATTTCACTTGCAAGATGGACAGGAGAGTCAAAGAAATCAATCATTCTACAGCATACCAGGTTTTTTTTTATAGGAAATTCTGGAAATCTTCAGCATTTTATGGACACGGTCAGGTTTCTCACACCAGGAAAAGAGGGCAAACTATCACAAATCAAAGCCATAAAATGCTTTTGGAGACAGGAGGTCAAAACTCTCACTGAGGGTACCATGTACCTTCTATGATGAATGTTCTTGATTTTGAAGTGTTAAACGGATCTCCTGGTGATAAACAAACAAACAAAAGACTGTGAAAGGAGGTTTACCAAACAGCAAATGGAATGAAATCTCTGAAGGAAAAAAAAACAGCAAAACTGGACCAGGGGGGAGTCTGACAAATCCCAGCGCTATGGGTCCAAGCTTGAAGTCACGGGGTGTGTGTTTGCACAAGCACGAGTATTCATGTCGACATGACCATGACCTCAGAAGCATCAGGCTCAGTCTCTGCCACTGATCATTCTATCCACATACCCCTCACAGCTCTACATGGCATTGTCACAGTATTTAGTTAAGCTTAATTAACAGCATTTGTAAGATGTAGATTAAAACAAAGTTTCATTTCGACTTGTCCTCCATTGTCCTTACAAAAAAAGAAAAGGAAATTAGAGTAAGGAAGTTACAATGGAAGTGAATGGGGCAGATTTTTGGAGGGTTTAAAAGCAGATGATTTTGTTAATGCTGTCAAATCGATTAATTGAGATTAATCGCATCTAGCATAAGACATTGTGTTTGCATAATATGTGTAAAATGTCAGTCTTTTTGATTTCAGCTAATTATAGCATATGACGTGTTAATGTGGCCACACCCACTGAGAGTGCACACTATTCAAACACAAATGTTGCGGCAAGCCATGAAAACACCCACAGCTGGATAAAACATCCAGTTTAATAAGAATCTTGTACTTAATTTTACCTCATGTTACCTCATCTTGCTGCACTGTGAGGAATAATAATATCGTAACAATCCTGGAAAAGTTACCTCAGAAGTGCTGGTAGTGTCATTTCAAGGAGAAACGGATTCTGCTGATGTAATAAGTTTATTCTTAAGTGCTTTGATCTAATCATGTTATTGAATAGTGTCTGTAAACTGCACAAAGTCTGTTTGAATATGAATTGCGTGTCTGTAAGAGATTTATGGGAAAAAAAAATGCTTACAACTCTAACTTTGAACCAATTCTGTAGAATGGCCCATATAAACTTCAGGTATGACTAAAAATGTGCTTTTGACTTTCATTTATATTTTGATATACATACACATATATATATATATATATATATATATATATATATCAAACTTCTTCCGTTCATACAACAGACACTTTATCCCATGAGGTTGCGTATTTATGAAGAACAGTGAAGCGATTTAACTGAAGCTGGTAGTTCTCATATAATGACAACATGACGAATGTAGTAGATCCAGATTACATTCATACTACACACATTCATACTACATAGAACATACTTTTTTAGTAATTGTTAATTACTAGTTGGGGGGAGGTGGCAAAGGGTATTACTGGACTTTTTATTAAAAGAAATGAAACAATAAAAGGATTAAAAAGGATGAAAGGGAATGAAGAAAAATAAATATGAACGGTAAAACAAGTTCTGTCTAATTGTAGCCTTGTTGAGAATCCATTTCAACTGTTTGTGAGAATATTTTTAAATAAAATATTATTTGCATTCACTCTTATTTGTATGTCTAACGTCAAAAATGCTAAATGTTTCTTGTCTCGTCACATTCAGTTAGGAATGAAACGGATCATGTAAATAATACCATATTGTCAATTCAAAATTGCGAAATTCCATAAAAAAAAGTTCACATTACTGGATATTACGGTCAGTCGCTAAACATATCCATTATAAAACAGTTGTCAAACTTTAAATATTTAGCTACTTGCATCTTACCACACACCACACTCTTTCAATGTAAAAACTAGAGTGTTGCATTGGAATTTGTGAACCGGAAGCCATGCTTCTTTAATCTGATTGGCCATCATTTTGATACTGAAAAGTACTGTTATCATTGAAAAGACCACTGAGGCAGACCAGCCTAACAATCTAGCTTTTTAAACTGTTTGTATCCTAATAACAAACAGAGGGGTGCGTAATGGAGGGTAATAGAGCAGCATCAAGAATGGGGGAGCCTATGGTAGTTACGGCCCTGACTGAACATTGAATGACACTTAAGAATCAGCGGGTAATAATGAAGTTACATGTTCACGAGGATACATTAAACTGAAGTCGCCTCATGAGTTTATAACGTGCCACGCTGTTACTTTCAACTAATAAAAATTATATATACTGCATTTTTTTTCTGGTGTTGTTTTTTAACAATAATATACAGTAATGATAATTAATTATTATTGGTTGGCGTAATCTAAAGCCCTTCATCAAACATATCAACACACAGTCCCCCTCATATCATTTTTAATAAATGCACAAATCATAAAAATTGGATGGGCATGGGCAAGGCAGACATTTGGGAGGGCTCAGCCCTAGATCCGGCCCTGTTGACAGCACACTTAGACAACATGCTCCATTCACGGGTCATTGTGCTAGACAATCAATTATTCTGTGTGATGATGTAGTTTATTTCAAAATGAATGGGATTATTAGACCATTTTTAGAAATTCTCCGCCATTGGTCTCAATGTGTTTGATCTCTATTTTGTGAGTTGAGAGCTGTGCGACTGGTCTGATATAGTCCCATGCTTCAGTGCAAAGCAGTTAAGTGAGCCATTCCATTGCTGGTAGTCAAAGACGCAAACACTCATCAAGCCCAGCATCTCATCAAGCACACCTACCTTCCATTGGCGTGTTGGGGTCGGGTCTGTTGGCAAACACTACGTCCACATACTCTAACTGAAGTCTCTCCAGTGATGCCCTTAGACCTGAAGGTCAGAAAAACAAAAGTACTGTTAAAAACGGTGTTCTACATATCCCTATCTTTCCGTTTGGTGCTGCTACTGGTATACACATTATACACTGCAGCTTTAAATGAGTACAGCACAAATCTTTAAGGAATGAAGAACTTTAAGGGGTTGAAACATGGCATTGTTTCACCAAATTTCAGGCCCAAATCTATTTGACCCTTAGGATATAAGATGCAATAATTTCTCACATGACTTACCCTCTATTATGTGTTTTCTGGACAAGCCTCGCTCTGTTTCTGCTCTGAAAAACATACAAAGATTGCATATTTAAGTACATCCAGTGAATATGGTCACTGTGATTTTGTCATGTACAACATCATAGCCAGGATTCTGGAATCATTTAGACTTATTAAACCCAACCGTTTCTTTTAACAATAATCAGTGATCTTCCTCAGGTACATTTACCAAAGGTCGGATTGAATAAGGCCACAGACTACCATCAAAATGTGAGCACAGTTCCAATTTAAACCCATTAATGTTTGATGGTGATCTCACATCAGTGCTCGGCTTTGGCCTTTAATTTGCCCTAAGTAAAAGAGCACAGCTCAGAGGGGGGATTCGACCTGGATCGTTCTCCAGTGAGGGTCTGCAGGACTTCCCTTACTATACCCCACACGCAGCTCATATGAAAGAGACTATAATTAACCAAATGCCCCTGTCGTTCTCAGTCAGGGGAGGGTATAAATCATCATTAACCTCTTTCTGACACACACACACACACACACACTCTTAGCACCGCACTTACTTTCCACCCCAGTATATCTTGGTGGTGATGACCAAACTGGAACGTCTATGAAAGACAAGAGACAAAGTGGTTGAAAGCGAAACAAAGGCAAGGACGGGCTAGACATCATGATGATTCATTGATGGGTAAACAGTGTCAGTTTAGGCTTCAGGAAATTACACTGTTTTTACACTATAGTCTGAAGAGGTATGAAAAGACACATGAAAAGACCAGGAAGTTCCATTATATACATCCAAGAAAAAGAACATTAAACACATAAAAAAAATTAATAATAAAATTATTATTCGTATTGTTGCTGTTATTATGAGAATTAAATTCAATTGAATTAATTGCAAAATATACTGTTTATATTATATTTTACTATTACAATTTTGTTATGAAAACCCTAAAATAGCATACATATTTTAGAATAAATATAATCATTTATAAAAAAAAACATTTCTGTTAAAAAGTGCAGAAATTGTAAATTCCACAACAATGTGAATTCTCTGCAGAAGATGGTCACAATAAGAAGCATTTGTAGAAGAATATTCACTTGAAACTGCAGTTTTGCCATGTTTCTAAAAAGGGCAAAAATTGTGTCCAAATTTAGACATCTTTCCCTGGGGAAGCGGCTTTTCGCCTCAGTGCTTGCATACAGGGAATGGTAGGATGAATAAAAGCTGATGTCCCCTTAACTGCAAATTCCACATTAGTCATTCACAAACTAACAGGAGCTGCAGGGTATAAGCAGGCATCTTCCCATTGAGAGGATGTCAGCAGTAACTCTGATAGTCTGAGGAGAAAGCCCCTCACATGGGCAGATCGCATCAAATGAGAGTTTGAGAATGTTTTAAATACAGCAAATCAATACGTTTACCTCCATCCTTTCTTCTTGATGACACTGCCGAGAACTATTTCAGCCCTGTAAGAAAGTGAGAAGCAATTACCATGCTATTATTTTGTCCTAGACCTTCTCCTCCTCACTTACATCACAGCCGGTGAGCAAAAGCGTCCTCTACACCGGGGGATTCCCTGTTCTCAGCTTCTGGAGAATTAAGCTAATGAAGCATTCACTTTACTGAAATATGAAAGGAACTCTTTTCACAGGCAAAATGCTTCATGTTTTTTTCTTATGTGAGCAGATTTTTTAAAAAGGGGAAGAGCGGAAGGGAGGGAGAGCGTCTAATGACAGATGTTACATTTTTGCCCTCAGGACCAATGTGTTCTTCATGAATGGTTCCCCCATCAGGCCTCATCATCCCAATGCGAGAATGTGAATCTTTGTGACAGCTTGTAACAAATGAAGCACTACTGTAACTAACGTGGACTCAAAAGGGCAGCAGACATCCTTAGACAAACTCACAATAGTCTTCCTTTTACACAGTATTAACTAGTAGTCTAGATGAATAAATCCACAGAAAGACGGCAAGTATATGTGTATGAGTGATTAAAGGGATACTCCACCCAAAAATAAATGGTCATAATTTACTCACCCTCAAGTTGTTGCAAACCTGTCTGAGTTTCTTTCTTCTGCTGAACACAAAGGAAGATATTTTGACACAGGTTTGAGGGTGAGTAAATGATGACAATTTTCATTTTTGGGTGGAGTATCCCTTTAAGGATATTGTTTGCCTATGCTGAGGTTTTTACAATGCTCACTTGATTATTCTGCATTAACTATCAACGCACTGAGCCACAGACTCATGGCCAGCTTGACATGAAACATGGATGGAAGATGACAAACGGCCCCCTCACAACCTCAGATGACATATATAAAGTTATGTCCTTTAACGCTCTCAAAGTCTGCTTCATTAAAGTGCCATTTTGTATCGTTGAGTGGATTTACACTGAGTCAGGCTATTTCCTGTTAACTTTATCAGCAATTCCCGGACGTTATATATTTCCACGGCATTGCAGAAAATAAAGACGCCACTGCTAAATTTACTGCAAGCTAGCAGGTTTAGGCAATTCACCTTTCCATCTCTTTTCTTTTCTTGCACGAGTGAAATCTGCTGACCAACCACTAATTTCTTTCACTAGGTTGTCTTAAACATAGATACCTAAAGTGTACACTAAACAGCAGTTGAAATGTTAGAAGTGTAAATGTTAGTGTAATATATAGCAAGTCAATATATAGCAACTTATAAAACATTGTTGGGAGCACTTTATTTGACAGTCTTTTTTCTTTTTTCTTTTTGCACTAACAGGGTAATAACTAGGTACTAACCCTAAACCTAACTTTAACCCACCCAGCAACCTAAACAACACACAAACTCTTTTTGCTATTGTAGAGAGACTGACAAACCCCCCAAGCCAGATTCCCAGTGAAATGCTCTCAGACAGCAAGTGCAGTGAGTTTGCCTCTTTCTTCAGAGAAAATCAATAATATCAGAAAGGTGATCAGAACATCCTTGAGTTGCTCTCGGGTCAGACAGATCAGACCACAACCTGAGAAAGTAGTTACTATGTCTGTTTGAAGAAATTGAAGGCAACATTTTGGAAGAAACTGTACAGCACCTTAAAACATCAACCTGCGCCCTAGACGCACTTCCCACATTTTTTTTTAAAGAGTGTTAAACACAACAGCTTAGAAGCAGATCTCCTAGAAGTGGTAAATGCCTCACTTCTCTCTGGGAGTTTTTCGAACTCCCTGAAAACTGCAGTTGTTAAGCCCCTCCTGAAAAAGAACAATCTGGATAAGACCATCTTAAGCAACTATAGACCGATCTCAAATAGGCAAAATCATTGAAAAAGTTGTCTTCAACTTCAACTGAACAAATTCTTAAGCTTGAATGGATACTTTGTTTTCCGATCTCATCACAGCACAGAGACAGCGCTCATAAAGATAAAAAACGAGTATAAATATATATGTTCATTCTCAAAATTCAAATTGTACCTTGGTGTCAAAGTAAATAAGAAAAAATAAAAAAAAAGATTTTAATAGCAAAGAGGGATTGGGTTTCCTGAAAAGAATTTTAGACCCATCATATCTGTGAAAAGTAGGTCTATACAGTCCTATAAAAGATGATAATCTGCTAAAATTAGAATTAATACTTAATACTAATCTCCCCATATATGAGCATAAATCCCTATCTTTGATGAGGGAGTGCAGCAATGAATGATGGGAAATGAGTAGAGAGTACTAACTTCCCTGCCGCATACACCTCAGCTGTGTCAAACAGATTAATCCCGTTCTCGTACGCCAGCGTCATCAGCTGCTCAGCTATCTGAGAGGAGAGAGATCACAGACAGAGAGAAAATCAACCACTGAAAAGAAATTATAGCTTTATGTTGTTTTCAGCAGTACAATACTCAAGGACATTTATTTGAAATAATGATAATTATTTGTACTGCTTCTATTTAGTTACTGTACAGTACCTGTTGATTAAAGATACACTTTAAGCATTATGAAAGGATGTACATTGTGGTCCTGAAGGTGGACTAAGCACTAATGACAGGATGATACTTTATATTAACACCTACCATAAAACAGGACAGATGTATAAAAATGGTACTTAAAGTGATACTCCACTTTTTTTGGAAATAACTCCCCCAGAGTTAAAGAGTTGGGTTTTACCGTTTTCAAATCCATTCAGACGATTTTCTGCCATTTAGAAGAATATCAGTAACCAGTTTCTGGTCCCATTGACTTCCATAGTAAATATTTTTTCCTACTATGGAAGTCAATGGGATCAGAAACTGCCTGTTTACTGATATTCTTCTAAATATCAGAAAATCGACTGAATGGATTCGAAAACGGAAAAACTCAACTGTTTAACTTGTTAAATGAGCCTATTTCCAAAAAAGTGGAGTATCCCTTTAATATTATAAAAATGCTGGTACTTTGACATTTCAAACAAACATGAAAACTGCTAACCGCACACTGAATTCATCCCAGACTAAAAACGTCTAAAATTTGTTTTTATTTTATAAACTACATACAATATTTTTGATTTCACAGTGTTTACATAAAATACTGTGAATGAAAATACAGTACCCTTACTGTAAAACGAACTGTAAATACAATTAAAATCACAGTATTTAATTGTTTTTTATTTCACAGTATAAACATAAAATACTGTAAATGGAAGTACAGTACCATTACTGTAAAGAGTATACACAGTAACTTACTGGCTAATCGTTGCCAGTAAGTTACTGTACATTTTACAGTAAATTTTTTACAGTGTAGTGAAAAAAGTGCAAAGTGCATGTGACGCAAGTTAGTCATGCACTTTATGTGATTTCAACATGGTCAAACTTCAAAAAAAGAGTTTGATAGACGGATTGATGGATAGATAAAGCTTTTGTTTCCTTTTTGAAGCTACAAATTGTATAAAAGTTGATATAAAAATATCAAAGTAAAGATCTTTTAAAATATTTTTGTATATGTTCAAAGAAAGTGAAACAGGTTTGGAATTAATTTTTAGTGAACTATGCCTTTAAGAGTAAAACTATGCATGCACCTTTAAGATTTGCGTTTCATTTTTTTTTTTTTTTTTTTTTACAAATCCATGAAAATCCCACCTCATCTGTGATTTGACCACCAAACGTCACCCAGGTGCCTGAAGAGAGAATGTACAGGTACTGTCAGATTGTATACGGTAATAGTGCTGCTCAGTTAATCCTAAACTAACTTACTGTACATTTCTTATATTTGCAAGAGGCAAACAGTGATAGTCCACTTAGCCTATAGCATGTTTTACTCACCAAGCCCTAGACATGATACCCGTAATCCAGATTTCCCAAGATTCCTAAACACAGAAAGAATCCCATCAAATATTCTAAATAACATGGTAAAATCAGATGCAATCATCATGATGATAAACGTAGCCAAAGGCTGCATATGTACAGTAGCAATCTTTATTTGTTACCCCCACTCACATGTAGAGAGTAAGTTGTGAGAGAATGAAATCCAACCTGGATACAGCACTACTGTACCTTCAGCTCAGAAGAACTGGTCTTTTGTTCAATATCCTTTGAGTTTGTAAAGAGCCAAAGTTACAATGCTGAACAACTACTATAAGACCAAACAGTCAATGACACAGACTGCCTTCATAATTACAGCTATTCAGTGAGTTTTTGCTTGTTATTTAAAGGATGAGATGCAAATTATGCCTGGCACAAAATGAAGATATTTCTTTAAAGGACATTTTTACCGTTTCTAAGAAGAAAAAATATATTTTTTAGATAAGGTTAGCACAACTAATGAAAAGGCACCATTTTTAACAGAAGAAATCTATAATGAATTTACCCTTGAGAGACATTCCAACTGTACATTGTCACACAAGTTTTTAACCATTATTAACTTTCTCCACACATTGAAAAAAAAGTGTTGAATTTACATGATTTAATCATGTACGTCGGTTCCACAAGAGTCAATTAACTAAAACAAACATAATTAGTTCACTTAACTTCAACATCAAGTTAAGTTATTTTGAAGTAACCAAATCAAGTAGTCTCAAATTGATTTTATTTGGTTCCTTGACTGTATTCAATTCTTTATATATGTAATGAAGCTTCAGGAGAATGAGGATCCATTTGCAGTTTTATTATAATCGTCGTTGTACACTCAAGGTCAATCACCAGCAAACACAACAGTAGAGATAAGGCAACTCGTAATCCAGAAACAGGCATAAGATCAGGGCAGGCGGCAAACTCACATAAACCAGTCTAGTAGAGAATATAGTTCAGGGCAGGCAGCAAAGAATCAAGATGAGAATAAACAGTCCAAAGGTAATCCACGGGACGACAAGACACAGGAAGAACCGCTCGGAGTTGATCACCAGGATAGATACAAAACTTCACAATGAGAGTGAGTCTGAGAGCACCTTAAATAGTCCACTAATGAAAGTCAGGTGAGAGGTAATCAGTGCTGGGTATGTGGGAAATGTAGTTCAAATGGTTTTAATATTCCGCAGAGAGATCCCTCTGGTGTTGAGCAGAAGGAACCACAGGAGTCTCGTTTGTGACAATATATATATATATATATATATAATTTAATGAATTGAATTACAAGATACTACTAGCTATAGCAAATAAACTGTAGGTGCATTCATGCCATGTTGGACTTTGGATTTGTAAAAAGCGTTTGCATCTTTGTAGATCTCGTAAATACAAATTGTAACCTCAAAATTGTAATTCTGAGAGCTCCGACTTGTGCCACCTGACCCGCTGTACCACCTGGCCCCTGTAGATTAATTTAGTTATTGATAGTGTTGCAATTAAAAACACATAATTCTGAGTCTGAGAATGTGAACAGCTCTGAGAAGAATGTCACAGGTTGTCATCTTGTAATTACGAGATGGCGTTAACACAGCATATGTATTAGCATGCTAAATGCTAAGTCTGCTCCTTAACAGCAAACACTTATGTACCTGTCCAGATTGAACATTTAAACATTACCAAATCTCCCCCTTTTCACATCTTGCTCAAAAACACCAAAAAAAAAAAAAAAAAAAAAATTAATTTCTCACATTAAGTCCCATGCAAAGCATGCTGGGAACTACAGTTTCAGGTATGTGAACCTATCAGTAAATTTTAGAGAATTGCATATATTGAAAGTAAAGAAATAAAGTTTAGAAAAGAAACCACGTTTTGCAGATCTTATTTTTTTTTAATCTGAAAATCATTTTTTAAGTGCATTAGAGATGAACTGCATAACAGATTTATGGACTAGTTTTTATGAGGATAGCAGAAAAGTGACATCTAAATACAGGCCAAGAAATCACCTAATGTCAGCAAAACTACACATTTACAGAAAATAAGCATGAACAGTAACCCTGAGCGCCTGGAACTGCTTGTTTTACAATAAAATATTATGAATTAACAACCATAATCAATATTTTACATACTGTTGCTGGTGTTTTGAAATATATAACCAGAATGAACTTGTTCTTGAGTGTGGACTCTGAATGAAGGCCTATAGTAGATTCATGTACACTGTATCTATTACCTGTAAACAGGCTGTCATCAATGTCAGCTCTAAGTGGCTTTGAACAGAACATCAGCGGGGAACTTATCAACTCAAATCCTATTATCAGTGAACATGGAGGTCCTGAAAACCAGTGATGAATTTCAACTGCTTTTATGGAGATATAGAGTTACAGGAAGTGAGATCCATTGACCAGCATGTGAAGGTGAACTGGCCACCTGTTGATGGGGCTCAAACTGATGCGCAAAGCCCTGCAATAATTGATTTTCCATCTAACAAGGCACAGCCACACCACAAGAGGGAGGGGAAGTTATGTTGATAAAAATTTACAAGGGCAAATTAATCTGAAAAAAAAAAAATAAAAAAAAAATCATGTGGGACTTTAACCCCAGATTGCTGGTTGGTAAGTCGGTTGGAAGTCACTTAGGGTAAAATACTTACACTTACCTGCAACTGCATGGTTAAGTAGATATGGAAATTGGAAACAAGCAGTTTAAAATGAATAATTTATTTCATACTGTATGCTGACTGATCTATACATATGTTTGTCTGGAATACAATAATTCGTTACATTTGTATAGCGCTTTTTCTGCATGGGACCTCAAAGCGCTTCACACTGGAAGCGGGTAATCTCCTCAACCACCACCAACGGCAGCCATATTGCGCCAGAACGCCCACCACACACCAGCTTATTGGTGGAGAAGAGACAGAGGGATAAAGCCAATTAGTATATAGGGATGGTTAGGAGGCCATGATGCACAGAGGCCAAGGGCAAATTTGGCCACAGAGGGGATTGGGATTTTTAATGACCACAGAGAGTCAGGACCTTGGTTTAACGTCTCATCCGAAGGACAGTACAGCATGTCTGGACAATTTTATGTCGAGTGTCTACAGTACAACTTCAGAGTGACAACGTAGATTGCTTGTTGATGTACAGTACATAATTTGCTACAACTGGAAAACAGTATAGAGTATTAGTCAGAGATTCCCTTGCTCACTACTAGCACATGTGGAAACCCCATTACTAAATCGATCAACATATGAAGTCTGCAATCAATAATTCACCATGCCCTCTAAACAAACCAAGCTTTCTCGAACTTCTAAGGTGAACGGCAGCAGAACTGCTCAGCAGCGTATGGGCATTTAAAAGGCACGTTCACATTGGAAGGAGAAACTTGGTCAGTACCTCCCCAGGGAGCTGCACTTGGCTGAGGCTGCATGTGGGAAACGTTAGGCCGGCTCCACTAATCTTTAGCATTCGATAATGGATGTCGACAGGACCTTTACCACAGACCAAAATGGGTCTCTTAATGCAGCAGACTACTGCTTACACTAACACAGCAGTTGATGGTGATGTAGTAACTGGACAGTGCTGTAGTGCTCACTGTTGCCCATTTAGCGATTATTAGTGCTTATAATTAGCTACACAGTATTTAATGGCAGACTTTTGGGACAAGTTCATGGGCCAATGATATAGCCTTCCTTTATATGTGCAGATATATTAATTCATTTAAAAATACATGTAAGCCATTCATAAAATGGCTTTAATATGAGTTTTATTCTACAATAATTTCTGAATACATACTCTATATAAAGGGCTCCCATGACCATGTGTGTGACTGTGTGTCAAGGTCATTAATTGAGGTTGTAAAACATCCTCTGGTGCAAATCCCCAAAAACAAAAGCATAACAAAAATGTTTAATATTTATGAATTAATATTGTATAATATTTGTATAAAAAAAAACAACAACACAAAAATAAACTTTTTACCTTGAAATATATAGATATAAAACTAATTAAAAAATTATGATAATTTTATTTTTAATATTTGTATTAAAAAACAACAACAAAAAAACAACAATTGGATTTACTTTAATTCACAAAGAATGCATTCCTCCTCATAATCCTCAGAAATATTTTATGACCTTTTATGTTTATATTAATATAACGGATAAATTATATTGAATGTTAATCTTTTTACTGCGATGTTTACATAATGCCTTCTTAGAGTTAAAGGGAGAGTTCACCCAAAAATGAAAATTAAGTCATTAATTACTCACCCCCATGCTGTACCAACCCCGTCGGACCTTCATTCATCTTTAGAAGTTTATCTTTAGTTCCTAAGACGAACGAAGGTCTTACTGGGTTGGTACAGCATGAGGGTGAGTAATTAATGACTTAATTTTCATTTTTGGGTGAACTATCCCTTTAATTAAAATAAACTTTTCCTGAAAATTGTATAAAAGTTTTTCAAAATTAAGTGAAACCAACAGGAATACAAAGATTTAATTTAAACTTAGCACATGTGGTTCAAACAAGATATTTAAAAGACGATTTCCTTTTATTTATCATGGACACTTTTATTCATAATTGGCCCCTTACATCACAGCATGGTTCAGCTCAGTTGGAATACAAAACTGATGGGACAGGCTGGATTTCCTCTACGGCTAGCCCAGACAGATGTTTTAATTAAAGAACACACACACACACACACACACACACGCTTGTTAGCATGGCAGATGAGCAAACACCCCAAGCTTCAGAGGATAGGAACAAGGATGCACACAGTTGACAACACACATTTGACCTCACACACATTCAATATACAGTGAGCCACCAGGAATCCCTCTGGAATATATTTTTATCATATCAACCCTGATCTTTCAAACAAGATCCAATCAGGCAAGATAAGAAGCAAGTATATTCACCGTTTCATCACAATAAAAAAAGGCTAAGTGGAAGAGTAGGAAGGTATGCAGCATTACATAAGAAAGGCTGGGGGCACGGGTGATATGGTAAATAGGTAGAGAACGGATATG